CAACCATGAAAATTATGGTAAATCCCTCTTTATGTAGAAGAGGTCAATAGTGCAGCTGTTGACTCTCCGAAGCTGTTCTACGAACATTTTGGATTTTGGTGGAGGTTATCAAAAACGAAAATCAATCCAGATTTTGGATAAGAGTCGTATATTCAGTATTGCCGTTATTAATTTGTATCTATAGTCCATCTGTTTAGGTAATTAACTAAAGGTAAACAAACAAAACCACGTGACACGGTTTATACCACAAAAAAAGTAGTTTAATAACGGTAGTTATTAATAAAAACAGATTATTATGACCAAATGGACAATCTGGAAATCCAACCTGTCACCTCACAACAGCTGAATTCTATCCCAGATACTTAACCTTCTATTACTTCAAATATTTCTCGTGTTTTAATTTAAACTAAATTCACTTTAAAATCGTTCATTTGTCACACACACATACAAGCACAAATGCCTAAATCGTACAAGAGCCTAGCCTATGGATCTATTTCATTATCATGTTTAAATAGAAACTATTTTGAATCTGATGTACGGATTTCTTTCTTGTACGGATATGTGTCTTTGGGCCAAGTTTCTTCAATATATTTGAACACATTAATTACAAACGATGAATAACCTAAACTTAAATAACGTAATAACAAAAACAAAACAAAAACAAGATAAATTCAACAAAATAGGAACGCGAGCGCAAACGACGAGAGAGCTGTCAATGGCGCCTGATTAACCGACTAAACGTAATACACGCTACTTTCATTGTCGCGCTACATCTTAATTGTACTCTTTAATTTGACAACATTATCTAATGCTTCGTTCATAAAGAAAGGTTTTGGATACCTGGGATTTTAGGCTCTTTATGGTGTCTATTGTAATGAAATATTATATTATTTAATAAATGTTATTAAATTATTATGCTCAAGCAGATATATATAATATTTACTAAGAAATAAGTGAAAAGGAACAGAAACATAACATTTAATAGAGAAAACTGTCGTAAAAATGGAAACAATTTTATTTTCTTATGAAGTATTTTGAGTCATGGAAATGTCAACTGTAAAGAACTCTTTTTATGGTTTGTTTACAAATAGTTAACTACCTAAACAGACGGAGTATAGTACTTACGCGATGCGAAGTGGCGACGTGTGCGAGGCCGTGCGCAGGAGTGGGCCGCTCGTCGCTGGACTCGTCGCCCGACCGCTCGCCCGTAAACACCGAGTCATGGGACACTGATAGCCCACTGCCGTAGGCGCCCTCCCTGTAACAAATATAAAGCATTTTATTTCTAGAAAAGAAGTAAAAAAATAAATTAATATGTACAACTTAAGATACACTATAATTAAAAGATAAAAATTAAATAAAAGAAAACTAAAAATAACTATTTACACAGAGCATCAAAAATTTCGTCCGCATCTACGTCAATAGGGAAGGTACCCTGTAGGCTTGCAGCATTGCCACGGTCACAAGATGCGTCGACCAGGCGTTTTGAAATGTTTTTAAATAAAGTATGGACACTCGGACCCCACGGACCTAACGTCTCAACCCCAAACGGCTCATAGATATTAAAAGAAAAAACTTGGATGTGGAATTGCAGGTTTATTTATACACCTAGCTTCACCTAAATGACGAACAGCCTAATAAGTCTATAGCAACGGTTTAACCCTAATCTTATCTTTTAATAAAACTTAAATAGGCTTATAGTTTATAGAGAAATACACCGACAATATTATAACTAACATACACAAAAAAACCAAAATATAACTAGTTAGTATAGTAGTAAATAATATCAAATGTTTTCTAACCATAACTCAAGCAAATAATAAGTAAATCCGAACTAAAAGAAAAATAATGCCCTGACTATGAAATTTTTATAGTTAACTAGGAAAGGAAGGAAAGAAGTATTTCTTTGGACTGCATGCAACAAGCAAAGTGTTGCAAACTAGTTCCGCCACTGATACATAGATGGCGCTACTTGTTAGATTAAAGTTAGGATTAATTTGCAATACTTTTTTAATAACCAGAGCCTAGTTTTTTCTTCAAATAATAAGACTAAGGTAGTAGTATACTAACACTAAGGTAGACTAGTAAGACTAGACTTAAAATAGTAAGAGTAAAGATCTTTATGGTGAGAAACCTCAAATGGGTAGTAATCTAAAAACTTGATACAACAGGTCTGCCCTCTTTTGTCAATTTAGGTAGAAACTTATTACTCTTAAATACACAATTGCAACTTACTTTCTTCTAGCATGTCGGTCCGCATCCAAGAGTTCGGAGGTGGAACTGCTCTTGGGGTCGGGCGAGGCATCTGCGCGTGCGCCACTGCCGCGACGCTTGAACATGCGCCGGAGGCCCCGCAGGAAACGACCAGTGCGGCCCTCGCCTGGAACATCAACAACTAAGATTAGTACGTTTGTAAAAGGGTAGTAATAACAGGTTCGCCAAAAAAGAAGAATTGTTCTTACTCAAAATATTAAATCTAATGCCTTAAATACGACTACTTTTGTTCGAAAAATAATAACGAAAAGACCGAATGAAGTACCCACTGAAATCTTCGAAAGATAAAAATGACTATTTATTGCTATAATACTTTTCTACTAACATAAATTACGTTCTACTGAAAACTATGCTTTGTCTAACCTAACCTAACCGGTAACTTAGTAATTTGGTCAAAGGCTCAGTATTCTATTCGGAACTTTAGTTTTGTAATTCGCAGATCCATTTTTATAGTCGGCCACAGATCCCTAGAGATTAATTTGTTTTTCGGAACCATTATTATTTCCTTTTGTTAAATACCTATCAACGTGTTAATACAAAGAACTTTTTAAGTAGGCTAATATAACAACTAACTGCCCTAAAATAACTAGTTATTGCCTTTTATGCTTTTGTCTGAAACCAAAAATTTAGCATTTGGACGATCCTGTCTCGAACATTCGAACCTGAAATTGCTCAGTAGCCGTAATACCGTACCTGAATCTTTTAATGTCAAATTAATTATTATAATCTAGTCTAGACAAGATAATTGGATAAGTCAGACAATTGATTATTAAACACTTTCCTTTATCTAATTGGAAATCAACCCGAAAATGCTAATCTCTAATTCTCTATCAACAGACCAAGTTCACACAAGTTTACTACTATGTTATTGTAGACCGAAAATGGAGGTTAAGTTAATCTATAAAAGTCCAAAGACCTAATAAACGATTCTAATTAAAATTTATACCGCAATGAGATTTTATTTGAAGACAGTTCCCCTAATCATTCCCTTACCCATTTTTTATAGCGTCAACAAAATTTTAGGGGATGGTCTCCCCAAGCCGCGAATTATGCGATAGATTTACGATTATATCGCTAACTTAATCAGGGGTCAGTGTGCAGAATTGTATTGTTTGTGATTAGGGGAATCCCCCTCTCGATGTAGTCAGCGATGTCAGTCACTAATCAATAGATCAAATAGTTTGGAGTGTCGAGAGGTGCAGTGAGTATCGGGGAACTGCATCGAACTACATAGGTAGTTACTTTTTTTTTTTTTTCAGCGGAGATGTACAGTATGCGACTGTACAATGTAACACCCACTTCTCACGATTTATGTTATGAGTCCTATGTAATAGGGGTGAGCCTATTGCCATATACCGGGCACAATTCCAGACTCCGTTCTAAAAAAAAACCAGTAATACTTTGCCCGACCCGGGTATCGAACCCGAGACCCCTTACCCGGCAATCGCACTTGCGATCACTCGGCCAATGAGGCAGTCCAAACAGAGATGAAAATATTTATTTAAAACTGAGTTTTATTATTTCTGCATTGATTTGATTCTTTAATTCTGGAGCAAAATATACCAGATATTATATATAGTAGGTACTTGAACTTCAAAAAATAGAGTAAAGCAAGAGATTATTACGTCCACCATTACTTAGACCATATATTAACCAAAAGTTCGCGACTGATAAACAATACCCTTGGCATCAAGTCCACTTTATGTGTACGAAGAATTTTAAAATATACCTACAATAGTGGTCAAATATTTGTAGTGAGTGAGAAACTTACCATGGTTGTGTGTGTCGGTGACGGGCGGTCGGTATGGCGGCTCCAGCGAGCCCTCGCGGACACACGACATGAGGCCCCCGCCGCCGCCGCCCGACATCCGAGCCCGCTCCTGTAATGAACACCAACACCATTACATCATGCTGTATCAGTGTATGCTTGAAGAATACACATAGCACAGATTCATTGAATGAACTTTGCAACAGTAAATAGGGACTAGATGCACGTTCATCCCCATAAGTCAAAAGTCAAAGTCAAAAAAAAAAATCATTTATTTCAATTAGACCAGGAAGGCACTATTGAACGTCAAAACAAAATATTTGAATTTAATATAATAATAAGAAAAATATTGAATAATAAGAAAAAAATATTAAATAATAAGAAACAATCAATCATCTACCGAGCCGACTGCCTGATTGGCCGAGTGGTCGCAAGTGCGACTGCCGGGCAAGGGGTCTCGGGTTCGATTTCCGGGTCGAGCAAAGTATTACTGGGTTTGAAAAACCTCAGTAGTAGCACGGAGTCTGGAAATGTGCCCGGTATATGGCAATAGGCTGACCCCCTATTACATGGGACTCATAACATAAATAGTGAAAAGTGGGTGTTACATTGTACTGTGGCATAATGTGCACCTTTGCCTACCCCTTCGGAGATAAAAGGCGTGATGTTATGTTATGTAAAAAATCAATCAACAAGAATCTACATTTTGGAACGATTACCTAGCTTTACTTACGAACCCACTATCGAATAGTCATTTGTGTTTTTTATTGTTTTAAATGCAACAAAGGTGTCAATATAAGAATTAAATGCATGTATAATGTATATAGATTAATAAAGAATGAAAGAAGGTACATGAATTTTTCTCCAGCTTGAGTTTTCCCTCCCGTTTTTAGTTATAACAGTCATGTTCAAATATCCTATGTAAGAAGATTTAGGATGAATAAAAAACTTCAATAAAGGTCCCCCCTTCTTCCTTAATAAACATGTTAATCTAAAACATCCTTAATTAGCTTATTTATGATGATTATTACGGAAGTTATCCAAGCGCGGATTAACTAATCACACCAAGTGTTTAATTAAAATACTAAAAAAATCATCTCCGTGCTGGCACGTACACCTTAAACTTTGGTCTGACATTACGGAGGGAGAAAAATAGAAATTTATATGTATACAAAAAAAATAAGGCAGGACTGTCTGTTTAAATGCCAAACCGAAGAACCGCCGTCAATTATTATTATTATAATTATTTATTTATCTTTAAATCAAACAGGTAAGTATGTTATAATTTCATCATCATCAACAGCCTATAAATGTCCACTGCTGAGCAAAGCCTCTTGCACGATGTTTTCCTTCAGAGGTGTCTAAATAATCTTTTAAACTGTCAAACACCAAGCGGTCACCGGTGACCGCAACCTATTGTTCTATAATTGTGTCTATAATGACGGTACTCGACGAGTTAAGAGGGGTGGTGTCAATTCTTTTGTTACCTCATGGTTTATGAGATCCTGATTAAAGTCACTCTACCATCCCTGAATAGGATGTCTGCTGTTGTTGCTTTCAGTAGGTTCATTAAACTGTCAAACACCAAGCGGTCACCGGTGACCGCAACCTATTGTTCTATAATTGTGTCTATAATGACGGTACTCGACGAGTTAAAGTACATATAACTCGGAAAAAGTCACATTGGTACTTGCTGTCGGTAGTTTTCGAACCCGCATTCTCATGCATGAGAAGCCAGTGTCTTAAACCTCCGGGCCACCACGACATTAGTATGTTATAGTTTAAGCCCCGCAACACCGTTGCAATGTTTGACAATTAACACTCCATGTTTTATTATTGTCCTTTTGCATAATTCTTCTAATGATGTATACACATAACCCTATATTAATGGTGTGAGAAGAGGTATTCGCAAGCAGTGGGCACCTACAAGCTGATAAACGATAATGATCATAATGATAGCACAAGTATCTATTCACACAATTCACGTTTACGTTCCTCTTTACCAAAGTTTTCCAAAGCACCTTTTTAATATCATTTCCACGAGTTTCTTTTCATCGTTAATCTTTTTTTCTAATAACGTAGCGAAGTAAATGGAAGTCAGTTGAAAACACAAGTAATTGAGGCGTCAGTCTTAATTTGTGGGAGATACGGGTCTCTTAGACCTTGGACTGAGTGTTCGGAGGTTACAGTACTTTGTAAAAGGGTTTTAACGACAGGTCATTTATATCAATGAGAGGTATTGTAGGTTCTTTTGGATGTCCTTTGTCAAAATATTATTAAGATATGAATGTAATGTCACTAGTCTGGAACCGATTAGTAGGTGATACTCAGGGGCCACTGGTGCATAGAGTGGGGACTCTAAGTGCCCATCCAGTGGCCTCAGGGAAGACGGTAGAACAGTGACCACGAGCTGACGTGTAAAGCGATGATCAAGGGACACGCACTTCTCCCTAGGGATGTGCGTGTCTCTTGATTAGACGGGAAAGGTTTCCCGCGGACATAAAAAAAGGTGATTTTTATGAAATTTCTGGTATAATCTTTCCAGGCTGGTTTCGGCTGCAGTGACCATTTGTTGACTACTGACGTCTATGTAAAATCCACCATTGTTTATAAAAAACCCTTCTACAGGATTTCGAATATACTGAGGGTAACAAACAAGATGTTTCGCGTTCGATGACCGGGTACGACTAAAACAGTTCTGGAGTAAAAAGGTCTTACATTGTAATAGGCTTTTCTCACGAGGAGAAGGCTTGAGCATTAATCGCGAGCAGGGTGGCAATTTGAAACTTACAATTAGTAATTATAAGTGTACTGGTGTAAGTAAAATTCTGTTGCTCATGTTTAAAAAAACATCTTAATCTACTTGGTGTTATTATAAACACCAACAACAAAACGGATTAAGACTTTGTTTATCATAACAAGATATTCAGTAACAAAGATAATGCCCAACTAATTCTCTTAACAATTACCGTTCGAGCTAATTGTTACACAAACCCCTAAGGGTTTACCCGTAATTATGTTACGGCTTTACCGTTTATTAATAACCTGTTTACATTATGTTATTTTTTATATTATTATTATTATTTTGTGTTCAACAGTGTTGTTACAAGAAGAGGGATCGCAAAAACATTGTTTTATTATGCGTTCTGACTTCTAACATTATTCGCCGGTTGTTTTCCGCTGTTGGAAAATTTTGGTTTATTAAATCGGCTTTTTCCTCATAATCAGCCTCTAAAATAATTTTAATGGTGTTTTGATTTTTATTCACTTCACAAAATTGGTTAAACTGTTGCGATGTGAAAAATGTTTGTTACATTTTTTAAGGGGGGAAAATCATCAAATGACTTTTCCCGCCTGGGTGAGGCGGGAGGAAGTCTCAGATTCATATTGACTAAAAACAGTACGCCCCAGTAACCCGTTAGGTTCTCCGCGACTCCAAATCGGCATCGGCCCTGTTGGGCCCCATCTGTGGTGGTCTGTTTGTTACATTGTATAACAATATTTCTTTTACATCCACTTAAATTATTTCATGGAGCCTTGTAGCCCACACAAAACAAAGCTCAATAATTCTACCTCTAGATCCTAAAGCTCAACCTTTCTCTTAGACAAAATTGACTAACCAACCAATAGAACAAACAATGACCTTTTAGGCCTACAAACATACAAAAAGATCACTTCATACAATATTAAAGGTAAGCATGTACACAGCTTCATATCAAAATGTACAAAACCATTTTATCATGAACTTGCTTTGTATGACCTATTCGCAAATTCAACGATCAGTTTATACTGGTTTTGTGTAGCTTGGGTAACTGTGTGTACCAGGCGTCCAGCCGTTCAAGGAGGTGCTATAAAACTTCATTACGAGGGAATAAATCGAGCTCGAGATATTGCTCGGTGTTGGCAACACTCCCTGAAGTCACGTTACTTAGAACATACGGTGTTACCTGTGTTGCCAGTGATAATAACTTTGCTAGATGTCTTTGGACTTTGACTTTGACTGCCTCGTTGGCCGAGCGGTCGTAAGTGCGACTGCCGAGCAAGGGGTCTCGGGTTCGATTCCCGGGTCGGGCAAATTATTTTTTTGGGTTTTTAAAAATCTCAGTAGTAACACGGAGTCTGGAAATGTGCCCGGTATATGGCAATAGGCTCACCCCCTATTACATGGGACTCGTAACATAAATAGTGAAAAGTGGGTGTTACATTGTACAGTGGCATTAAGTGCCGTAATGTGCACCTCTGCCTACCCCTTCGGGGATAAAAAGCCGTGATGTTATGTTATGTTATGTTATGTCTTTGGATACGGTTTTCGGGGTAAAGAATTACTTTCCATTCTGTTTTGTTTAAGAACAGATTATTGAATGTTCGCATGTTGGCTGTTGCTTTAAAAATGATGATTAAATGTTAAACAGTAAGTTAACGACATTTTATAATTGAAGAGGCAGTCAAAGAATTTGCAGAACCTTTTGCTCTAAAAGTATAAAAAAATTACAATCTTTACAACGTTTTGGAAGCCAGACATAAACTGTTCAATTTCAAATAGACAACAGGTTCAATGAAGTACCACTGAAATCTCAACACAATATAAAACAAAGATGGCCTCGTCTGAAGACAAATTTTGACAAGCGACCTGTACAATAAATGCCCTCTTGACATTAACTTTGACTAATAAAGAGTAAAGAAGAGGCGCTGACACTAATTAAATGAACATTTCCTTAACGAACAAATTTCCTGACACGTGGAAAGGTTTAATTTCCTGGAAGGAGTTCCTTGTTCATATTGGCAGACATCTTTTGTTTATATTCAGTCAGCTTTGTGGAGATCGGTAAGGGTCTTATTGAGATACAAACCAGCTACTATCACGCGGCTTCAACCGCTGTTCGACTCTTATTACATAATATAACATCACGCCTTTCATCGCCGAAGTGGTAGGCAGAGGTGCACATTATACCACTGTACCATGTAACACCCACTTTTCACTATTTATGTTAGGAGTCCCATGTATTAGGGGGTAAGCCTATTGCCATATATCGGGCACAATTCCAGACTCCGTGCTACTACTGAGAATATTTAAAAACCCAGTAATACTTTGCCCGACCCGGGATTGGAACC